TCCATTTCACTTGACTTCTCTGTAAATCATTCTGTCAAAGACACAATGAAATAAACAAACAGAAGAAATGGAAAAACCAGACTGCAATTGGCTAAGGCAGACGGAAATAAAGAAGCTGACACCTCCCAGTCCAAGCTGTGAAGGAAACATTTTATCTTAGGTGTCTCCTTCTCAGAGTCCCTTCCCCGCTACTTCCTGGAGCAAACGGTCCTTACTTTTCCTACTGCTATTCAAGACTGCACTTGATTTTCATCCTATACCACCTTTGAGGTACACTGCCCCGGTCTAAACTAATAGCTTTCTTTTATTCCCTTAGGAGGTTGGGTGTTTGAGACAAGGTCTTGCTATTTAGTTCAGGCAGATCTTGAACTTACTATGCAGCCCAGGCTGGCCTCCAGCTCCTGGTGACCATCCTGCTTCAGCCTCCAGAGTGCTGGGATTACAGTTGTGCACCACCATGCCTGGTTCATTTTCTCTTTTTTTGAGAGAACTTTTCTATGGAGGAAATGTCATGAAAATGTAAATAACAGGTATAAGCAGGACTGACAGGGTGAAGCTGTAGCACCTGTTAATTTCCTCTTATTCCTCTTGATGGAAACTCTGGGGTACACACACACACACACACACACACACACAAATTTTTAAGAGTCTTCATTCTTTTTTGTCATTGCTTTCTTTTAATCAAAATTTACCAGAATTTCTGTTTGTTTTGCTTTGTTTTGTTTTGGTACTAGGGATTGGACCTGGGGACCTGTGCATTCTAAGCATGTGCTCTGTCTGAAAGCTGCACCTTTGCCTCCAAACCTATTTTTTTTCGATCACTGACATGACAGGTAGTTAATCTTATCAGATTATCAGTTTATCCTTTTATTCAGGATGGTGTAATAATAGTAGTAGTAAGATAAGAATTAGAATTTTATGAGACAATGTTTGTATTTTAACTGAGATTTTGTGGAAACAACACCTAAATTAAATAAATAATCTCCCTTGTAAAAAACCCCAGGCACTTCCTGCCATCTTCTTAGGATATACTGTATGTATTTCAGAGCCCTATTAGGAGTGGTTTCTTCACGTGTAGGTGGGGCTCACGCTGAAGTCCAGCATCCTCCGCCACTTTTATAACAGTTGCCTTTCAAGTTAATGGAAAATTGAATGACAAAAGTGAAAACTCATTTATTTAAGAGACTCTTCTCTCCCTGGATTAATAAAAAGGATAATTTAAAAATATTAACAGTACAGATTTAAGATAGTGTCAGGCAATTTTACCGGTCTGGTCTCTGGGAAGGCAGAGCTCCCATTTTTGGATGTTTTCTTGCCAAACGCTACTCACACGCTAATTTCCTAACCTTACGTTCATTGAGGTCACCATCCCTCCTGCAAATGCCTCAGTAAAGGCTTTCCTTCTCCACGGTAACTCCCTCTGCTTCCACAGGGGGGCAGGAGACACCACAGTGCGTGCTGTCTGCCTGGCCATCCTTTTTGGGACACTCTAACCCTGAGAATGCTACAGTCAAGCTGCTAAAGGTATCCATGCCAGAACTTGTCTGCTCATCTCAAGGGACTTTCACACTTTTAAAATGTTCTTCATAGGAGAGACTGCTGAAAAAATAACTGGAGAATCTATGACTAGCCTGGAAGCTTAATTTCACGGCAGTATTCAAATACTCAGAATATAGTATGACTATCTAAAAGCAGATTTGACTTGTAGTTTGCCCTTTATATCTTTCTTTTTAGCAACACAAACACAAATACATACACACAGAGACAGAGACAGAAACAGGGAAAGAGACAAAGAGAGAGACTTTAGTGTGACTTGTTAACACTGGAGGGGATTTCTATTTGAAACATACAGCCAAGGGAGGAAATGATCAGGCTTCATACATTGCTGTGGATCATTGTCATGATATCTAAATATGATTTTTAAAATATAGGGGTAGGGATGGATCAGGAGCCAGAAGGTCTTGACTCCTAGTCGTGGTTACAGCTCTGATTAGCTTGCGAGCTTGGGGTCCACAATAGATTTGTACCTATAACATGATCACTGCAGCCCTTTCTTGGAGAGCTTTGCTTGCATAGATCTGGGGCTGATAGCAATCAAGGAATACCTGTCCCAGGGTAATCCTGAAGGACAGCAGTCCACACCCTCCGTGGTGGTCCTTGTCCCTGTTTTGACTGAAGTCCCACAAGACTCTATATAGAATTCTGGAGGTCTTAAACCACAGCACATAAGGCTCATTACTTTGCTTCCTGTTTACTGATAACTTGTAGCAGATAATAATTGCTCTGGGCAAAGTGAAGAGAGAACAGACAGGGCTGCTCCTGCAGGCAGGAACTATACTTGTGGACAGAGGGTCCAAAGCCATGAATCATCATTAACCAGATAGCATACTGATAGAAATTAAAGTAGTGATAAGGCAAACCACAAGTGTTCATTTCCCCGAGGGAAGGGATGGAGACAGACCACAAGGAGGAAGCCTCTCCTGGACGACACTTGAGAGGCGGATGTGCAAAGCAAGATGCAGAGCAGGCCAAACAAGACTGTGTGCATCCCAGGGCTGGCAGGTGGGCCAAAGGGGAGATTTGGAGCAGGGGTTTTGAGGCTGTGGTTTTGCAGAGGAGGCCTTCACAGGCCCAGCCAGTGGAAGGGAAGAGGGGAGGGGTACAGAGCAGCAGAGAGGCCAGAGGGACAAGGAAGAGATGCTGAAAGCAATGGCCTGGGTAGTAAAATATTAAGTGACAGGGGAAAAAGCCAATGAGGCATCTAGCTCTAGATGGCAATAATATGAGAAAGGCATGTGCACAAAAAACAGGGGAGTAGATGGGACCCCAGAAAGGCAAAGATACTTTGACTTGCTGCAGCAGTCAAACTGTGTGAAATAATTTTCATTTCAGCTCCATTTTCTTTTATGTGGTTAACCTGTTAAATGATAATTAAAAAAAAAAAAAAGTCTAAAGGCCAGAGAGGAAGAAAACGTAAGGTGAAGCGCCAGCAAATCTCAGACAGAACTTATTACCCACGAAACTAAAACAAGAGACCCAAGTAAAGATTGAGAGAGAGTCAGAAGCAGCCCTGGAAAAGATCAAGGGGAGAGGGGTCAAAAGTCCAGGCATTAAGAGTACAGAGTCTGGAGCAGTGTGACCTCCAGCCTCAGTTTCCCTACCTGTAACATGGGGGTGATACAGCTCTCGGTCAGGAATGTGGGGAAGATTAAATGACACAAAACCTGTCAGAGTCTTAGAAGCAGGCTGTTCTCTGTGGGTTTGCCATTACCTGGGGGAGGGGGCTAGACCTTAGGGAGATTCCAGGAGTAGAGAACAAAGTACTCTGCAGACTGGCAGCAAGGGATTTCTGCAGGGAGGGAAGAGAAGATGAAAAAGCAACTAGAAGAAGGAGGGAGGGAGGGAGAGGAAGAGAGAATACACCCCAGAAGTTCCTAGGGTGGAGGAAATCACCTGAGACCACATGAAACCCTCAGGACAAGGTGGAGGAGGGGTGCAAGAAATGAGATGGAGATGACTGCTGGGATGGGAAGATCTCTGGGCTTGGGGCCCAGCCAGGCCGCTTATCCCGGCTCCCTCCTTGGCTGAGTGACCTTGGAAAAGTCACCTTATCTCTTTGGATCTAATTTTTTTTTTCACCAATGAAAGTGAGTATAGTCAAGCCAACCTCTCAGCGTGGAGACGATGAAAGGAGGACTTTAAAGGCTGGTGCTTGTGTCCCAGTAAAATGCGCTGGGGAACTCTGCAGTGCATAGCAGTGCAGGGCACGGAGCACTGTGCGAGGAAGCAGCCTCTGCCGAAACGCAACGCCTTCCTGATTTCAGGCCCCCAAAATGAGCGAGGAAGTGGGCGGAGAAGACAGACACTGAATCTGGGGACAGATAAAAGAAACTCGCTATGGGGAGAGGCTGGGCTGAAGAGAAACAGATTGGGGTAGAGCTGCGAAGGGAGGGAGGGGTCCGCTGGAAGGGAAGGAGAGGGTGGGGAGCAGAGGAAGATGGGAGGGCAGCGCGAGGAGAAAAGCAGGCTGGGGAAGGAGCCTTTGGAATGCAGGAGGAACTTGGGGAAGGAGGAAGTCCTGAGGACGGGAGGGAAAGGAGAGAGGGAAATGGAGATGCAGCGGAGGCGGGGGCAGGCCTCGAGAGGCGAGCGGAGCCCGCGGGCAGGCGAAGGAGAACGGAGGCCGAAGCCAGCGTCAGACGAGGTTGGGGACCGCGGGGCAAGAGGCTGGGGCCTGCAGGGGCGCGCAGCAGCTTTTAGCATCGCTCCGAACTCCAAAGACCCGTGGCCTTTGCCTGACCTCGAGGGTGGGGAAGAGTGCCTGTCTTTGTGGAGAGCGGTACCCCACAGAGAGAACGGGGCTGTGCCGAGCCGGCCCGGGCGAGGCTTCCCGGGCTCGGGGTTGGCCCCGAGGGGCACAAACTGCGGACCTGACGGTTGGGGCCGAGGAGAGAGGGTGCCGCCGCCCGGAGCCTGCGGCAGAGGCGCCCACACGGGCCGTCCCTGGGGCGCGCCCACCCCCACCCCCGGGCC